ACTTTAAGATGCACAAAATTTTTTTGCCACCTTAAGTTTTGAAATCAGCTCTTTAGAAGAGAAAAGGCCACACTTAAGCACAGAAAATTTAGAAGAAAAAAAAGGCCATACTTGGGTCTCCAAATGTTACTCATATTCAGGATGTATATATTTATGCTCAAGAAAAGAAAATTCAGGATATTCCTAATAAATCAGATTGCAGGCAATTAACACAATCCAGGGATTAGCAAACCAAGCATGGGTAACAGCCACCGATTTAGCACTTACTCTTTGATCACTTAGCTGCATCTTCATATTTGATAGCTGGAAATGTCAACTCGTCGACAGGAAATCTGGAAAAGTGGCACTGAAGGGAACAACTCCCTCTTTCCTGCTCAGGCCATTACTAAACCCACACTGATTCATCGAATCAGTAGAGAAAACCCTTCCAGCGGCGCTGGTAAGCGAACATATCTCCAACGATTCACCTGCCTCCAAACCATTTCCCAGGAAGGATTTGATCTTCCCGGCACCCATAAGCATGGCTGGATCTATTTGATGAAAATTCCGGCATTAGAGACCGAGCGTAAATCCTTCGATTCACCAGTAACCAAACAACTGTCGATGAATTAAGGGGCAGATCCTTTCGTCTGAAGCATTCAAATCCTTATTTTTTGGAATTTTGAAAATTGAACAAAAACTACACTAGATGGAAAAGAAATCAAAGGGAAGGTGTGAGAAAGGCGTGAAAAAGAAGGGATAATGGCAAAGAATGAACTAAGATTACACAGCAGAGCCATGACAGCGGAAGAACCATTGAGAGAGGAAAAGGAAAATCCCTAGGACCAAAACATGGCATAAAAGAGTTGTTCTCCTATGGAAAGAAAAAGAGCCGACATTCTCAAATCAGAGATATAACCGTCAACTCAATCACGGATTCACGGGTCCCTTGGAAAGCCAACTAACGCCTTTCCTTCGGAATCCTATACTTCCCGGCAGCCGTTAATTCCCCCATTAGATCCGTGGAGGTCGGGACCCTCTCGGTGTCATCTCACCGGAATTTGGTCTTCACCGGCTACGGCCGACCACACCAGCGCCAAAGTTGATTCTCGGTCAACAGGTGGGGCCAAATGCAGACATATAGTCAGTGGGAAAACCATATACTCCAATAATTAATTCAACTTAATTTAATCTCCTTTATATCATTGAACAATCAATTAATTTATCGTGACGTGAAAAATTCATCTAATCTAAATTGCACAAAAACACCATTCGAATTAAATTAAGGATAAAGCAATCGCGATTTATATGTAGATAATTATATTTGTAAACTCAAATGTACAAAACCAAATATATATATATATATATATTTTTTTTCATTTTTAAATACTCACTCCATATACAGAGAAACAAGGACTCTAGGACAAGTCAAGCCACCTGACTGACTATGAGCAAACCAAATGAATCATAAGCAACACA